AATGATATACATCAAAACTCGATACACTAAAGTTCTACTGTTGGAAAGAGTGTAAATAGGTCCAAGTTTTAGGTCTTTCTGAGCATCTATCGCCAATGTAAATAYAMTGTGACGTCATTATGCCATAGGGTAATTACAGGTAATTAAACGCTAACACCTGCCATCATTGCCTAATCAGTGCCTCCGTCGTGTTTGCAATATCGTACTTGTCAAGAAAATATCATGAAAATACATTCAAAATTCTAAGATATGTGCAAACGATTTTTTATTATATCTATGACTTTTCACCATGATWAAATCATTTTTATTCAATTAAAAAAATTGAAAACAAGATTTAAAAAATCAACGCCAAAACAACCTCTACAAAGATGGATTTTAAATTTTATTTTATTTTACTATGAGAAAGATGGGATTTAACACTTTGTTGCACGTGTTTGATCTATGTACTTTATATAACATCATCAATAGCGTTAATCAATATTTATCAGCAATGATCAGAATGACTTTTCGCACGTCGCTTTGTTCAAACGGTGAGTCGTCTTCTAATTGGCACATGAATAACGAATAATTGATACTATTCAACATTAGGGGCGATCCATTAGACGTTTGAGGGGGTTGGAAGATCTAGTTGGTGCAAGAAATTTGTTTTGGACTTCAGGCGCGTGCCTGCAATTTTTTTTGGAAATTTACAAAAGCTTTATTGAAGATTTTTCAAAATTTTGCCTTGCAGGAATGTGTTTTTCGGCCCTTCGGGCCTTGCAGGAAATTKATTTTCAAAATCTTCTTCTTCGAACATTCTCGTTTTGTGACGTCATTACTTGAATACTCTATACACGTYTTTGCAAAGCAAARCAAACAAAAGCTGAACTACAAGRAAACACGCATGATTCTMTATGACTGAATTTCGTGCTTACGCGCTCGTCCGACAGAATTAAATGAATTATTCATTWAATTGTGTATGACGAGTGCGTAAGCAGGAAACTCAGAGTCGCAAAGAATCATGCGTGTTTTCTTGCAGTTCACTTATTGTATATATTACTTTATGCATATTTGGGAAAAGCTATTGTAACTATTGTATATTTAGATAATCTGTACGTTCGATGCCCGAATATTCTSAAGGTACTGTATATCCTAAATATTGCAGTTGTTATTGTCATTGCAGTTATTATTATTGTTAATGTTATTGATATTGTTATTGTTGTTGCTGTTTCTACCAAGAGATCGCAATAATTGAAGAGCAGCATTTCGCATGTCTGGTATTCTCCAGAAATATATGATTGGATTGATACTTCTGTTAATCAGGAGTATAGTATGAACCACGTAAACTGTGATAACCCTGACCAAATCAGTTTTCGGCCKAAAGCTCTGCACAATCCAAACGCAAGTATACGGGGAATAACACAGGAAAAATGCACCAAGTATGTAATACATCATATTCACAGATCTCTTAATGTTCCTTGCTGCACCAGGCTGTGCGTTCATTGCCTGCTGTTGAACTTCAATTTGCGCTGCATGTCGACGGATAGCCCAAGATAATTTCAACATCAGCGCAGTGTTAATTAACAAAAGCAAGAGAAATACAATGATAATAATATACGCTATTACGACAGTCACTTTTCTTAATAGTAGAAATAGCCATGTCCACAGCACACTGAATGCCCAAATCATTATTAACAATRTTGAAACGCGCTTCGTTGTAACGAGTTCTTGGTATCTTAGATGCAAGCGAAGAGCAAGGAATCGGTCAACAGTAATGGCAGTTATTATCAAAAAAGACGCCCAAATTGACATGACAGAAGCTGGTTGCAATATTTCCAAAACACTGTAAAATAAAACAATGTTGTGACTCATATCTGCTAAAATGAGAACAGAGTATACAGGCTGCACCAAAGCACCAACACCAAAGTCAGTGATGGCGAGACCTAGAATAAGAATGTTCGAAGGTGTTCGCAAAGATGGCGTCTTGACAAAAGTCATGATGATCAAGAGGTTCAGAATAGTCGTCATCAGACAACTAAAAACATTGATAACAATAATGCCCACAAAGAAGCGAGCATCGACAGGTGATGATTGTTCTGTCATGGACTTGTTCATCTTTAAATCTTATAATCTTTCAACTTTTATATTCTGCGCCCCAGAGAGAGTAGGATTCCAAAAAATCCAAGGAGATAAAAGTGACCAACAACATAACACCAACAGGTATTAAGTTAGGTGATCCTCGGAAAGTTATTATTGGAAYAGCAATTCGGTCCTAAAGAACTAATTTACACATAAACGGACGATATATTGTGCAAATGCTATGTCGACTTCAATTCAACGTGACAGCTCACTGTCCAAGAAACTTCTAATCTAAAGTATAGTACAAACTTTGGCTTCTTTCAAGTAAAAGGAAAAGTAACCATGACGACGAAGTAGGTACAAGAGACCTAGTTAGTACACCCTTACCATGACCTTGAGATCCGATAACGACAACGAGTACGAGTTTTGGCCGCACGCTTATAATGCGCATATTTTGAAAGAAAGTCGTCCCGTAGAGAACGAGTTTTTACAGTTGAGTTTTTTCATTTTAATTATAATCAATTTATTTCAAAAGTAAACCAGAGGAACCTTGATTTACTGTGAACATTGTGTACAAACAAAATGCGCATACAGAGCGTATTTTTTTGGGGGAGTACTTTTTTAAATACCCTCTTGCAAGTACAAATCTCCTGTTTCTGCCGGTTTGAGACGTTTATAGAGAGTCACTTTGAGAAAAYAATTTTAAATACTGAAGGATTCAAGATAGTTTGGCTTGGAAAATAGTTTTTAAATAAGCTCCATGAACTTCATGAATATTAGTTGAACTTTTTGTGTGTTTTTTTTTGTTGTTGTTGTTTTTTCATTTTTTTTTTTGTTTCCCTTTTTTGTGCTTTTTTTTGGGGGGGGGGGGGAGGGGGAGGGGGGGGAGAGGTTTTGATCATTATCAAAATCAACATCGCTGCGATAAAAACTAATAAGTCGTTACTTCTTTCATCTTATTTTTTCGTTTTTTTCCCCATTATTAGGACGTTCAACACGATCAAATAAMATAAAGTCTCCAAAACAAGTACCATCCCCACGAAAGAAAGCCAAGATTCCAGTTGCGAAGGAAGAAGATGGTGATGACGATAGTAGTAGTGGTGGCGAAAGTGAAATCAGAGGAGGTATGTACGGAAGTAAGGTAATAACACCGGCTATTTTTAGTTGTTGTTTTTTGCCTCATTTTAAATCGAAACTAGTGCACCAGCGGACGTACGCGGCAAATTTTTGCGAAGAATGTTTTTCTTTCCTAAATTTTTCTTCGCTCAAAAATCGAAAATTTTTACATGGACCGGAACTAATTTTACAAGCTGTGTTAAAGTATCTTTACGCAAAGCCTATTTTTCACCTATGACGCGAGCGAGCCCCAGCCCAATGCTAAGAGAGCAGGGCACCGAAAACCAATCCAACTTAAGCCGAAGTCTTAGTAAAATAACAAAATTATGGATTTAAAAATGATGTTTGCTTTTCTTGCTCTTAGGGGCTCGAACTTATTATTATTATTAGAGTACAGTGATAAAAAAGCACAAACACAGACGTAAATCTGAAAAAATGCCAGGGCCAGTCTTACTTGTCACATTTCGAGTTTGAATTTTAGATGGAATCAACGTAGAGGTATTCCAAAAGAAAGCAAAAAGAGCTCTAAACTGAAAATATGAAAAAAATGATAATTTTGTTGTGTACTTGCGATTGCAATTCTTCGAAATGGCATTTGCTTTTTATTTCTTTTTTTTTTTTTTTTTTTTTTTTTTTTTTTTGCTTTTTTCTGTTTGGGTCTGGGCATGCGCTTAGCAGTCTACGTTGAATCCTGGCCTCTTTTCGACACGCTCCAGGACTCACGAGGAAAGAGAGTCCGCGAGTCATGGAGCGAGTCAAAAAGAGGACAGGACTGGACTAGGTCCAGCAACAGAAGAAACAAAATACAAACGCATCGTCTTCAAAAACCCAATGCAACAATTTCTGTTGTATATATTCGTTTGAATGAAGAAYGTTTGCCTTCTAGAGTCTTTGAAACGACAACCGCGAACAAGAAGTCAACATGCTGCAGCATCCSAAAAGAAATRCTCMACTTCTGATGATAACAACGAAAAAMCAATGCGCCTTAGATCGGGCAAAAATAAAACTGCAGCTTYAAACGGTGATGAGGAWGGCAGTGATATAATACGCCACAAAACAGGCAAAAAGAACAAAACAATTTCAGATGATAGCGACGAAAGCAGTGCAAGCAAAAAGAAAAGAGCAACCACATATGACACCGTTGAAAATGGCGAGGTAATAACTCGGCGTAAATCAGTCCGAAAGAAAAGGCTGCCAACTATAGATGACATGGATGAACGCATTGAAATGACAAGAGCTGGGAAAAACAGCAGAGCTAAGAAAAAGGCAGTTGATGACGATGATAGCGATGATGATGAGTTTGACAAACAGCTAATGRAAATCGCCGAGAAAAACACTAGTAAAATGACCAATGATYATGATATCAATGGCAAGGTTGTTGATGTTGAGGTTGATGTTGATGCTGATGTTGATGTTGATGTTGATGATAATGATGATGAAACTCAAGACAGCGACTCCTCCGTTTACAATGGTTCAGGTAAGCATGAAGTGTTTTGATCCAACGTTTCTGCTGTTCAATCCTAATCAAGTTTCAAGTTTCAGGTTTAAATCAATAAATAATAATTTACACTTGAGTAGTTAAGACTATTCAGATACTAGTTCAGATTACAAAATACAAAAGATAATATAAGAGGAAAAAAAGAAATTTAAGCAGGTTTACGTGAAAAAATGTTCTGAGAAAAGAAAAAAACATGCGAAATAGAACGAGAAAAAAAAATCGACTAGACCGAAGAGCAAGACAACGAWAGCAACAAAGTGCACGAGCTTTGGTCACTAAAATCAATAATTGAATAATGATTAATATTAGAGTCATACTTATCCGCCTGTGAAACAATTACTACTAKTCAGTGTTTAATAGTAACWATTAGGRTRTAGCAGGCTACCAAAAGACAAAATCAAAACCGTGTTTACCTAATTTGTTTGTCGCATGTCATAAGTTAAACTGGGGAGCTAATAGGRAGTAATAGTATTTAATAGTAGAATTCATATTTCACAGACGGATGAAAATGACTCTATCATCTGTACCCCTACTAGTATGGCAGGGACACCGCAACAGCGTGAAACAGCAGACCCTGTACTCTCACACACACTACCTCTGCATTAAGTATTTTAGCACACAACACTCCTCACATGTTGATTTTTGCTGAGGGAGGAAAACCGGAGTACCCAGACTGAAAAACCCTCGTGGCAAGGGAGAAAAACACATCAAACAATCGCAAACTSACATGTGGTCCGTGCCCTGGAATCGAACCTGGACCACACAGCGTTGAGAGGCCAGTAGCTTAACCACTAGACCACCCGTGCCATCCTATTTATGATGATTGTTTGTTTTAACCTACTCATGCAAGTGGTATAAAAATGCTGTTGTTGTCGTTGCTGGTTAGTTTTAATTATTTTACCTGCTTGTCTATCAGGAGAGACCTCTCCAAACGAAGATCAAAGAACGTCTTGTACGCGGAGACTTTTCGACAATGACCAAAACAAATGCCAAACTCCTTTGCTTGAAACCGTGGATAACATGTTTGAAGTCATTGCGCAAGTTATGGTTAGTAATATAAATCACTGTTTATAATTGTTTGTTCTATTTTACTGTTGCATTTTTCCTCCTGATTTGATTGTTTTTGTACCTTGACATTTGCTTACCTTTAAGTATGTTGTTCAAAATTCAATATTTTTTGTTGTTGTTCTTTTGTAACTTTGTTTTATTTGCATTTTCATAATATCTCAGCTTTCTCACATCGTGCCGCTTTCGAATTTGTATTTGAAAAAAAAAATCAAGAAGTTGCTACATTTCCATGACACAAAAGCTGAAAATTATACATTTGTTTTGTATGAGTTTATCATAATGTCCCAACGTTGGGTATTACATTATATTTTCTTTCACAGAAACTCCCTTGTACCCAAGACATGAGCGATGCACAGATCTTACACTGTCTGTATGTTACCAGTGGATCACTAGATGACTGCAAACACTATATCGAAACCGGGACTCTTTCCAATGGTGAGTTTATCATGCAGAAGTGATGTGGTATTTGCSATTAACATTTGCATAAACGTTTCAATGACACGGTGGGAGTAGGCTCGAAAGCGGTTTGTTAGAGTTTAGCGTTARATTTTTGAAGTTTGAAATGATTAATGATCCTGATTCAAGAATCTTTTGATTCAAATCCTATAGAGACTTTCAGCCTCAGGTTYTATTGTTTTTTWAWTTTKRRSCCYKSMA